ATCAGCATCTGCTTGTTTCAATGCCTCCCTTCTATACTTGGTGGAAAATGCTGCCCCTGTGGCTACAGGAATTCCTTCACCAATGAATGCAAACCCGCCAAGCAGATTGTGCTCTTTTGAGAACATATGCATTGACCCACCTTGTCCTCGGCAACATCCAGTTGCCTTTCCAAAAAGCTCGCTCATCACAGCTCGAGCTGGGACTCCCTTACTCAGGGCATGAACATGGTCACGGTATGTGCTCACTACATAATCGTCTTGCCTCAGAAGTTTGATGAACCCAGTTGACACGGCTTCTTGGCCATTATACAGATGGACAAAACCAAACATTTTGCCCCTGTAATACATCTGGGCACACATATCTTCAAAGGCCCTGCCTAATACCATGTCTTCATAGAGCACTAAAGCTTCCTCTCCTGTAAGAAGCTGTGTACATAAAGAAATAAAATCACTAGTCTCAAATACTTTTCTTCCTTCGAATACAAAAGGTTCTTACTTCCAACAAGACAAAAACAATAACGCAAGAGATTAAAGCATCTGCACTTTAAGAACACACACACACAGTAGCAAAAACCTTGCACTCGAACCACTGAGTGAGCTTTCTTTCTTTTCTTTTCTTTTTTTTTTTTTTTGGTCGCAAAGGATGAAACAAAATTAAGTTCAATTGAATAATAAAACGCTTAGCTTTTACAACTAGACATTGCAAAGAATCCATTCTACGAGAACACCATCGCACAAACTCGTCCGGATAGCTATTCCCGAGAAGTAAAGATTCATAGCAAAAGAAGGGTCTAAAAGGCTACTCTGCTCACCAGATTAGCGCTAGATTGGAGCTTCCTATCCTTGACAACATTGGAAACAGCAGCGACAGTGATTCGACGGTGGCGAGAAGCCTTGGAGCTAGCATGGAAGCGAAGATTGAGAGTGGATCCCAGGAAAGAGGAGCTTGTTTTGAAGGGATCAAAAGAGAGAGGTTTGTCATTGGATCTGGAGGCAGTAAAGGAATTGATCGGGAGAGGCTGGACAAACTTGGTTGCAGAGAACGACATTATGGGAAGCTCCGGCGAAACGGGAGAAGAGGAAGAGAGGAGAAGGAGAAAGGCTCTGGTGATGGGTGAAGTTGAAGGGAAGAGGGAATGTTAAGTAAGAGGAAGGAGGCGGAGGAAACGAGGAAGAGAGCCGTGGAATTAACCGTCTTGAGCGTTGGAGGCGATGTGGGATCGAATTGATATCAGGGAAAGGGCCGAAAGGCCAAGGTAAGCCACCCACACCCCACCAATTTTTTCTCCTTCCATTTTATTGCTCTGTCTGCCGCAGAATTATTATTAATATTACTATTTACTATTACTTTATAAAATTTGCATTCCATATTCATTTAAATCAATATGATATACCCTTGCATAGTTAATCTATAAAAATAAAAAAATTGATTGAATTATTTATTTATAAAAAAATTGTGTATCGATTAATTAGTAAGGGACCGTAGTATCTTAACTGGTAGTCTTTTTTATTATTTTCGTGTTCCTTTTCAATTTGATATGAAACAATCAAAATGACTACTAAATGAGGGTGGGTCGATGTGAAGAAAAAAGGTTAATTATAAAAATCCAAACTAAATTTTTGTTAAACATTGGATTTTCCATATGCACGTTCCCAATTACTTAAAACGGGCCAGTGGATATTGTATTAAAACTAAAAAATAGTTATCATTTTTTTGGTGAAAAGAAAAATTACCATTGTTAATACGTTATAAATATGTCTAGTTTATTATAAATTTTATATCGGTATATTGATTATTATTATTATTATTATATTTACTTTACCTAATAAAACATGGGACTCTTTTGGTCTTTTTACAACATCGGTATGGAAGGACATTTTGGGGCAATATCTGAAGGAACTCCAAAAATATATAGGATATTTGCCCAGAAAGCTAATACGCCGCCACGCTAGGAGGGGAGAGGGATTATTTTATTTCGTGAGGGATTTTCTTTGATAAAAGGACAATGACAGTTTGGACCAAAATAGTAGTTTAATTTTGGTTTAGATTAAAAAATTTGAAAATGTCAGTAGAAAAAACCATGATTCTTAATAATCACATGAAGTTACATAGTTATTTTTTCAGGAAAAAGTTTTATATTAAATATTGGAAGATATATTGCAAAGTATTTTGTAATCAATAGTGAATTGCAGAAGCTAAATGTTAAATGTCACAAGTACCTTTGAAGTTTCATACAAACTTTCTGAAATTTGACATTGATATATGAAGAAATTGCAATTGATGTAACTGATGTAATACAACAGTAATCTGTAACTGATATTTAAAAATTTAATATGCAACATTTTATAAACAAAAGGGTATTTATGTAATTTTACATAATTATTCCGATCAAAGTTGCTTACTAAAATTTCAAAAATTTCATACCAAATTAAAATTAAATTGAAGTATTGGTCGCCAAGTGTTATTGCCCCTTAATCAATTTTTTCATGGAAAAAATTAGAGCCAAGGACCTAAAAAAAGTAATATTTATTGAGAAGGATCATAAAAAGTATAATTATTTGGAGAGACCAGATGTTAAAATATAAATTTAGAATTACTAAATTATCCTTCATTCTTCCCGTTCTCCTCCGTCCCTCGTATTTTGAAATTTTCTCAACTCTCTACAGCGGTAATTCGTCCCAAAACCATCCAAGCTAGCGTCTTCCACTTCTTGCCAAGTGCCCATCTTTCTCTTCTTCTGGTTCTCCTCTCAAAAAGCCACTCTCATCTGAAACAGGGTGGGTTGTGCGTCCGGAGGTAATGATTCAAGAGTTCTCAAAGTCTTCTCTCTCTTTAGGAATAACGGTTTTCCTGGACCTTCCTCGAAACCCGAAAATGGAGGAAGAAAGTACGAAACATGAGACGAGTCGAGATTGTTGAAGACGGTGTAGATGGTGAACATGAAGAGGACGACTTCACTGAGTTTAGCCCATGAATATGAAGCAGTAGAGTCGTTTCCTTCTCTGTTTTCATCCATCCGAGCGATGCCGCTTACTCCGAAAATCATTGTGAAATTCTCTGGTGATTGAAGTTTCTGATCTGGGTTTTCGAGTCAGGAATAGAAGAAGCAGCAAAATTGGTTGAGTAGCTGAAAGTGAGAAGAAGAAAGAGAGAAGTTAATGGAAGAGGAGGCTGCATAAGGAAAAGGGCTTTGATTTTTGGTAACTTATCATCAAAGGATTGCGACGAGCAAAGCATTGTCTGTGAACATTACTAGAGCACACTGCTTACACATCCAGTGAGAAATTTCCAATGCAATCTTTTGATAATTAAGTATGAAGCGTGGACTGTTGACTTGCTGAGGGTGAAAGACGCCATTGTTGGTGTTGAGATAGTGATCACGACCCAATTCTGTTGGTGCATATGTGTAGGGGTGGTTTTATTGGAAGTGATTTGATTCAGAAAAGATCGTTGATCATCATTAAGGAAGGGAAGCTTAAAGTTTGTTGTTCATCGTCTCTCTCTTCCTTGTGCGCATGAAACTGAAGGGAAATCTGAAAAATGCACAAGTCAAAGAAATCATGGTGTTTGCAATAGGGACAATGTTGTACTTTTAGATTTATATTTTAAATTTTAGTCCTTCTAAATAATTAAAGTTTTAAAGATTTTTTGAATAAACATTATCTTTTTTAAGGTCCTTTATTCAAAATTTCCCTTCTTTTATTCCATGTCTACCACTACTAGTTTTCATCAGTCAGATACTTCCGGTTAGCAAGGTAACAGAAAAAGTAACGTCATGGTGCGGCAAACAAAAAGTAAGCCTTACGTATCAAACTCTAAAATATTAAGGAGTTATATGCAATTAATCTAAAATTTACGGATCTTAATACTCCCTGGTCCTATTTAGAGAGGAAAAAATTTTTATGGTCTTATTTACAAGGCAAAGAGAGAGACTTTTGATATAAATATATAATTTTACTATTCATTTATTATTGTCTTGACTTTGTTCTCATAAGGTATAATGTATATTAAATAAAGATAAAACTAGAAAGTTATTAAATTTTAAATGAGAGTTAATAAAATTTAAAGTTTTCCTTAATCTATGTAAAACTATTGGGAGTGACTTATAAATAGGATTAGAGCATTATATCTTAGTTTTAAAATTCTTGAAAAAAATCCAGAAAAAGAACCTTGAAATTATCATTTCCTAGTTCAAATGCTTAAGAGTTGAAAATGACAAAGAATGAAGTGATGCTTGATACGGTGTTTTGCAAATATTGTTAAATAACTAAAATGTTCTTGTATAAGATTTGAATAAGAAGTTATCAAATTTATTATTGTCAGTACATTTTTTGTTATTGACCATTCAATACTTGGCATTGCGAGTAGACAACTTGTTCATAAACAATTTGTTATTGTCGTTATATTTTTTATCATTTACTGTTCAACATTTATTATTATCCGTTTATAACTTGTTAATAAAATTGTTTATATAAAGACATTTTAGATATTTGACTACATTTACAAAATACCAGATCAAGTACCACTTACTCTCCTAGAATTTTAAAGTGTTAATTATATGATTTAAAGTATCACATTTTTCAACTTCTTTATTTATCATTTTTCCCTGTATCCTTTCGGCGGCAAATGCAATATGAGCATTGGGCATGGAATAATAGTATCACTCAACATGATAGAACTAGCTGTCAGCCACAGAAATAACAGATGTAAAGATTAAAGACAAAACAATCAAATCACATTTTTTATTCTTGAAATAAACCGTTCTCACAAAACATGAAAAACATATCATTATCTCTAAATTTAAATATAAGAAGGACCGAAGGTGATATCATTTTCTTCTGCAGAAATAATGGCCGGGAGGAAGATTCATTTGGGGAGGGGGAAAAACAAAAACGGAAATCTGTCAAAAAGCCCCATATATCGATCACCGTTTTTTATTTTAAATTTCCTATACGAAAAACTATATATAAAAAGATAAAACTAAAAAAGAAACTTGGCATAAATGAAGCACAGCCCAATTAAGAGACGATAATGACCTATATGAACAGTAAATGCTCATTATTGGCTTCCAAGAATTTGTTTTATTAGTGAAATATGGAAGACTAATTGATATTGATTGATGCTAATCACCTATACAAAAATGAGATACAAAAGAATATAAATGGTTGAGACCCAACAAACACCAAAACTACAGACAGCCTAGGAGGGAAAAATGACATCGTTAGTCTATACAGTGGTTAGTGCTTCATCTGTCTGTTTCAGTTGAAAAGGTTGGTCACCGCTTATTGTTCTTCTCCTTGCCTGTAGACGAGTTTCCCTTATGTCAGAATTTGAACATTTCTTATGACAATCAAAGTTTTCTTAAATTTATAGGTTAAAAGGAGGCCCCAAAAAAAAAAAGAAAAAAAAAAAAAAGACTCACCGAATATACTTGATTTTAATGGGAACCGAATCGCAGACCCCTTAACTCGAAGCTCTCGATTTTGCTTATTTTGACTTTGTTTCTCTGCAACTGCAGCACTGCTGCTGCTTTCTGCAGCCACAAGATCTGTCACTCTATTTACCTTCTCATGGTACAAAGCTGGAGGTGCGAGCCTCAGCTGAGGCAAGCTTTCTATTTGTGCAAATCTCTGATCTTTATGCAAGCTGGATAGAATCTCAAACTGCAGAACCAATTTCACAATTTGATCAATTTATAATGCCTAGAAGTCTGAACATGGTAACCACATTTAAAACAGTAAATTATATTCACCTACCTAGGGTTTACAAAACCCACATCAGAAACCTTTCATTTTATACAAACCTATAAACATGAGGACAAGACTAGATTCTAAAGAGGAAATTTTATGAAAAGACCAATCATATGATGATTTTTTTCTTCCAAAAAAGTATTTACTTGCGATGCTTTTATTGGAAAACTTGATAACAAAAATCATAAAAACATGAGAACTTTTGCCTAAGTTTTGTCATTCACATGATTCGTTAACCGTTATACTTTATGCAGTTTTACTCAGAGAAAACTGATGGCTTCCTAGTTCAGTGCATGACTAACTATCAAAAGGCCATACTAATACTTGTGATAACTTAAAGGGCGCCACCCAAATATTTTGAAACAAGTGAGAGTTTAACTTTCATGTTAGCGTAGAAAGAACTCTTCCATATGGGCCGTGTAACCCTTTGTAATACTCCCCCAAGGGGGTATGGAGGTTTAGAAAATCCCAAAGGATATGAATTTAATTTACCCTATTTAAGATTTATCAAGGCACATATTTACCCGTGAAGTCTGTTGAGGCCCATATGTATTCTCTGATAAATCGCTTTCATGTGGATGGAAGGTACTTCCATTAGAGTGTTGACGTCTGGATGAGAATTTATTCACCAAGCCATTCTCAGCCACAACTGATTTGCTTTTAGGCTGCTGGAATTTTTGGGTAGGCATGCATACAGGGCATCCAGATTGAGAACCTCTACCCAATAAATCAACGTCCAAAGCTTCACAGTGGAGATGAGTCGCATGGCCGCAGTTGAAAACACGAACTCCAGAGCTAACGGAGTTCTTCGTTAGAAGGCTATTACAAATACAGCATACTATACTCCTGGGGGCATACCCATGAGATGCTCCTTTCTTGAGTAAACTCATAGTATAAAACGTATCATCCTCTATCAAGGATTTGGCGGCATCCTATTTGTAAAGAAGGAAAGGAAAGGAAAAGAAAAACCATAAGCCCATCAAAAATGAAGAGAACAGAATTTCAACTAATCTACGGTTGTATTAAAGCTTAAAAGCCTAGATATACCATGCACACGTAGTGATCATCATAACTTATGCCTTAACAATCCCATCCCTCGTTTTGAAGGAAGAGTTACTTTTTCTTCTCATAAGTCCAACTAAGTTGCCAGCCAAAATGATCAGCAAGAATATGCTAGTATCCAAAAAAAAAAATTAACCATATCTTGCCATGCTTCTAGAGGCATTTTTAACATGATTCTACTAATAGTCTCAATTGATAATTTAGTATTATTCTATCAAGGATAGGAGGTTTTGTCACCAGAAAAGCTTGATGAAAGGGTTGACTTAAAAAACAAAAATTTAAGAAAATAAAAAAGGAGGAGGAATGGAAGTACAAACGTTACCAGAATTCTTCTTTCAAAGCCGTATGTCCCAAGCATACCCAAAATGGTTAGCTTAAAATCGCCAAATTCTTGACTGCCATTATCAGAAAGGAGTTTGGACATGATAGTTGGAAGGTGAACATAACCTATCATTCCTTCAACAATCTCCTTGATGAACAAGGAGAACAATCTCCTCAAGACATCAGCGCCATGAGACTTCGAGATTTTCCATCTGCTTTTGCCTGTGTCCTTTTTCAGTTTTGAAACTGGTGATCCAGCAAACATCTGAAAATAATTCTCTCTTTCAGAAGCCCTCTCATCAACATATGAATCCAGCAGCGGGTCACAAAACCTTGATGAATAATTTAATGCAAGTTAGACAAAAACTATCCAAGACTGGGAATGATAATCTGAGAAATGCTTTTCAGGACAGTCTTGATCATTTAAGTATTACATATACGCTTGATCCAAAATTATCATCTAGCCTTTCTATAAGCACCTCGTCCCCAGATTTGTCTCTTCTTCCATCATAAGAAAAGTAAATATCAAAGTAACAAAAGAAGCCACAATTCTTCATATCAATGCAATTTTTATTTACGTTTTCACATTACTAAAAATCATGGATAGAAAAAACACCATTAAAAAATAGTTTCTTTTAGCAATTTCCAGATACATAATTGCTGTACTCAAATATGTGCAAAAGGAGGATACAGACACAAAGTCAATGCCCAGATATCATTTGATGCGATAACTGAAATAACTCAGAATCACACTCATATTGATTTTCCACCCAAAGTCAGCTTACCATATCCTGTGTAATTAAAGATCACAAGCAAAATGCAATCAGAGACTATTTAAAGCATCCAAAACTCCTGGTAATCATCTATGTATTTAACATTGGATTTATCATATCACCAATGTTACCTGCTGGTATCTGAAATGCAAGATTTTTGAGGAAATTCAACAATGATGGGGGGAAAAAAAAAAGTTAAGGTGCAAATTTGCCCTGAAAGTTTTCACTAAGGAGCAATGTTGTCCCGGAAGTCTTTTTGGGTTTATGGGTGCCCCAAAAGTGTTAAAATGGAGCAAAGTTGCCCCTTATTGTTAAAAATGTCAATAGTCAGTATTAATATTTTAACCATCAACATTAGTTTTTTAATAGGGTGAGGCAACATTGGTATGTTTTGAAATTTCTTGGGTAACATCGGTCCCAAGTAAAAACTTTTGAGGCAAATTTGTACCTAGCCCCAAAAAAAAAAAAGAAAAGAAAAGAAAAGAACCCCTCTTCGCCTACGCACTCATCAAAATTATAAACTTTACCAGCCTCTCAACTTTTTCACAGCCTCCTTATTTCTCCCTCTCCTCCAGTCTAACTTACTTCATTTAGAGACCCCTCTCATCAGCCTCTGATTGCATGCTACTTGTGAGAGATTACTTAAATAAATAGATAATAGAAGATTAGTTGTTAGGCATAGATAGATGATTGGGCATGGGTCCTTAGGGAAAAGAGGGTAATCAATGCCTTCTAAATCCAGTGCCAGATTATGCAGTCTAGAATCTCTACTTTACATCAATGGAGTGTACTTAAGGACTAGGACTCTGCCCTCTCACACTGAAGACCACTGAGTTATTCCTTTTCCAGCCATTTCCGCTTTCCCTTTTTACAGGCCAGGTTTTTTTTGTTTTTTTGGCCAAGGCCAGGTATTGAAAACCGAAAAAGTGCACTCTAAGTACATCTTTACAGAGCTATTTTGCAGTAAAAACCACACACAAGTATATTTGTAACAATGATTATTGACAGAAAGTTTGATTCTTAACTATATAATATCACTTTAGTATCCATTGCAATATAAAAAAAGCATGAATGCATGGAGGAAGAAGACAGTATCAGCATTGAACATACGAGTCAAGTAACTTAAACCAATGTGCCTCTGACTCCTCAGGATTTAGACGAGGGGTGTTCCTCTGGCACAGGCCAATGCAAGCGTGCAATGAACTCTGTATGTCGTTCACCTGTTAGACAGAAATCAGTAACAATATTAGGCTGCCTAATAGAGATACAAATACTCAAGCATACACAAACAACAATTAAAGTGCAGTAAAATGTTTTAGTTTTGAGGGAAAGGAATAAAAACCTCTTTCATTCTTGAAACAGTGTTGAACAATTTCATACGGGAAGAACCCTTCAAGGAAGGATTTGAAATTACAGTTTCCACAGCAGCATCAAGCTCAACAAATTTCTCACTCAGACTAGAAAGTGTAAGAAGAAGAGCACTACCAACATCACCAACCCTTTCTAATAAAAATGCAGCAGCATCTATAATTCCATATTCCTGGCACAGACGTAAACAATGTTCCACCCGATAGCTATCAAACGTTTCCAAAAATTTAAGGACCGAACCACCTTCGTACTGGCATAATAGCTGCAAAAGAAAATGTAAACATCAAAAGATATATATCTCCACTCCCAACCCTTTGGGGCCAGATAGGTGAAAGGAAGAAATGCTGATTACATAAATTGGCATGTGTGAACATTAACAACGATGAACACGCAACACCAGTTGCAACACTGAGCCTTAACATTCAACTTAGCTCTAGATATACAAAATCAAATTAATATTGTCTGTAATAATAAAACTCACCTCAAGATAAAGCTCAATTAGATCATCAGTAACATGAATAGGACTTTCACGAATGTACTTGGGAATATTAGAAAGAATATCCAAGAAAGCATCAACTCCTTGTGGATTATCCTTAACCTGCTTTCCACTGGTTGCATCCACAATATCACCCTTTCTAAATTTAGATAAGTCCAGTGTTCCAGATAAGTGAACCTCAACGAGCGTCTTTAAATAAAGGAAAAGACTTCTGCGATGAGAGTGAAGTTCGGTAATGATATGTGAACTCTCATCACTGAAATGAATGATAACCATTAGGAAGGTACCCTCCCTGCAGGGCATGAAAAAAGAGAATGCAAATGATTATATAGGTTTCACAAACTGAGAATACGTAAAAGAAGAAATTATGTGGAACCCGCAGAAGAATCCAACAAAGGTAGAATCAATGACAAGAATTACCTGCTCAATTCAACCAGCTTAGGAATACGAGATATTACTGCTGATCGAATAGCAGCACGTTCATTGCCAGTCAGCTGCATTAACATTGTGTTGATAAAGGAGAAGGCATGAATAGGTTCATCTGCATCTTTCATATAGCTATCCAATGCTGCTACATGCTCATGTCTGATGGCATGAATAAACCCACAAACCTGAAAATCAACAGAAACAGCTGCAAGAATCAGTTGATATAAAAAGAAGGCTGGGTTGTACAAAACACCCTTGAACTTTGAGGCACATGCAAGAATCAGTTGCCCTTCGCATTTAGAACTTGACAAAAAATCCTGCTAGACTTTCATATCAGTATAAATCTCTCTGCCATTGATGACTGAGTTATTTTACGACACCTCAATAACCATATACCACCTTCAACCTCTTTTTCTTCTGGGGGCAAATAATCCCTCAGGTTTTGGGTTATATGGAGATAACCCCCTACAACTTTAAGTCACATGCAAATAAACCCTCCATCACTTTACATTAGATCAGTAAAATACTGAATAACTTAATGGCAACGGAGTTATCCATAGAGCTGGTTATTCCCAAATGATTTGGAGACAATCTTGGAAGGGAACTGATTTAGACAGGACTAGAACCAGTGGTTCAGAGATTTATCCCAAGGTTTATATCCATAAGGTTAAAATGGTAATAGATTGTTAGGGTAGGTGTAGCCAGAGGTTTGGGCAGTGTTAGTAGGGGTAATGACTACGTTTTGAGGTATGAAATCACCCTCTCTGCCAAGGGGTGGGAAAGTTCAGTTTTTTGGAAGTATAGTGAGGATTGGGAGAGTTCTGGCCTCTCGAAAGTCCACAGTCATTGCGTTGTGCGTCTTTTGTTCTGTTTATTTTTAATTTGTAATTGTTATTTTGATTGTAGTTTATGTATCTGGGTGTAAGAGGGTCATGGGTTTGTCTTAAATCATCATTTCCTTTGTAATCTAATTTAATTATACAGTAATAGCATTATCAATATTCCCACTCTCGTTTTGTCTATTTCTGGTTTTAGTCTTGTTATCAGCTTGTTTAGGAGAGGGTTCTATCATATCTCCAAAAATTCGAGAGTTTAAGGGGACCCATTATCGAATTTGAAAGGTCAAAGATGTCATTTACTCATTCAAGGGGGTTACATATAACTTAGTGAGCAAAATAAATATTTGATGACACTTTTCAAACATAGTACCATAAAAGAGGGAAACTGTACCTGGTGGAATTGTGCTCTCTCACAAAGGCCTAGCACATACGATGGATCCCAGTCTGGCTCAGGCAATACTTTCAGAAGAGCAAGCACTTGTTTTTCTCTTTTTTCTGAAGTTGAACTCAACAAAGAGCCACTAATTGGAAATACACTGTCTGAGGTCAAATATTCTAATATTTGAAATAACACACTCCTTGAGACTTTAGCTCTTTGAAGTGCAACATAATACGCAATGAACTCATATATGTGACCAATGTCCTTGTTTGAAGGCCATTCTTTTAGCGATCCATCTTCACCACTGACGGAGTTTGTATCTGTGGGAGAAACAATCTTATCAATTATGCGAATGAGAGCATCCACTGTATTCTGAACCAAAAGATTTTGAGTTTCCATAATATCATGAATTCCCTTCTTTGCGTCTTCATCATCTCTGTTGGCTAAATCCACTGAAGATGAGCTGGAATTTGAGATTTCATCTTCCACAAAAGCACTTCTTAAAACATCTAATGTAGCTTCAGTATCTAACTCTAGGAGAAGATATAAATTCAGGCATGGTCGTATAACCCCTAAATCTGAAACCCTTTGTGATTTCAGCACATTTGATTCCTCCAACAAAAGCTCTACAAGTTCTTTTCTTAGAGATGGCAAGCGTGGAGGAGGAATAGTTCCACGCCCTGAAAATATATGGAAAGTGGAATCATCTTTTAGAACTAGTAGTCCTATTTCAATGAAAAAGAATCAAACTTGTAGAAAAGATCAAAACGAATACCAGATAGTTTCTATAAAAAAGAAATACCTGGTGGAAAAGCAAGACCTGTGAAGCAGTACTTCAGATAAACCAGCATTCTATACCTGCTAAATGGGCGGAAAAGCATGATTCAACCACTTCTAACAAGCTTAAATTAGACTAATTGCTTTAAGTTTAATTTATTCATGGATGCCTAACGCAACCATTAAATAATTGCAGCCTATTGCCTGATTCAGCCAGGGACTAAGTTTTTATTCAAATAAAGAACACAATAAGAACGTTACTAAGGTAAAGGTTGAACTAGACTAGAAAATTTAAGTATACGTGGCACACCCAGCTACATTAAATAAACTAGATATGGCAATAAAAAGATAAAAGGCGACTTACCCGAGTGTAGTAGCACTTTCCTTTTGGCTACTTTGCAAGACAGCAAACAGCTCCTCTAAAGGTGTCCTGAAATCATCCAGTCCTTTATTAAAAAGATACACCAATGCGCTATATAGTCCATGCTCCTGGCATAATCTAACAACCTAAAAAGAAAGTTATCATACATAACTATTAGACAGTTGAGTCACTAAACCTACTCAATATAGTTGCTCAACAATAAAACAGATTTTAAAAGATCTAACAATAACCTGATTGAAATCCAAGGAAGATATGTCCATATGAAGAACGCATTGCTCTACCCTCAGTAACCACCCTTTGGTGCTATAATGCTCTACCAGAGCTTGCATAATCTTAAGGAATGGGAAAGTAAACAACAGAAGAAAACGAGCAGTTATCAATCATAACAAATGAATTCAAATCCAAAAAAGTTACCCTCCATATATTAGTCTACAGCAAATCTGAAAAATATGATATTACCCAATACCTCAGGAGGCAGAGATCCAAGCATGTCCTTCAAAATGTATGGCTCCAGAAGTTCCAAAAATGTGTCTGAAAAAGGCACAAATCATTTCATCCATTAAGTCTGCCCCGCTGGCACAAGCTGGATCAATAATGCAAAACAATTCCCATAGCGGTGTTCATTTTTTTCTAGACATAATTAACTTACTCAAATAGTGAACAAAGATAGCTTCAGAAATTGCATCCAGTTAGCTAATGCAGCCATAAATTATGTGAAAATAAATAAATTCATGAAAAAATACGATTGTTCATGGGTGTCTGATATCAAGCCATATATTCCCATTTTATTGAAAAGAAGCTTAGCATAATAGTGAAGGCTTTTGGCTTCGTGGTATTTTTCATATAGAAAATCTTAAATTTTGCAACAAGCAATGAATATAATTCAGTTATATACCTGTAACCATATTGATTCACCTTTTCAATAATTATTTCTCATATTTTGATGACCAGATTATGCACACATTTAAACAAGATAGTAAATTCTTGATCATACATTTCCCTTTTGGAAGTGTCATCTTTAATTCTTTCCTTTACAAGAAATCTTATTTCTAATACTACAACAATAACAAGCCTTGTTGGTATGTAGGATCAGCCACGTGAATTGCATGGCGTCATTGTGGTCTATTGACAACCAAATCTTTGAATAGGCTGTTAACCGAAAGATCTCACTTAATAGCTTCATTGAGTGTTCCCTTCGGTCTTCATAAGGGCTGAGAAAAGACAGGTACTAGTTAAAAAGTACTAAATACCCCTTTCTGGTTAAAAAGAAGGCACAAAGCCGTTGGTAATAGGGAATTGGGAAAGGATGGGGCAGGAATCAAACCCCAAACATCAAGATCCTCCAGCACCCATATCCAAAATAGGTGCATTTGAGCCAAGGCTCTTGGGCACATACACCATTCTTTTGATCTTCCTAAAGACCTCTAGGTTAATAAATTATGTTGTGCTAAAATTTATCATAAGTAGATATTTAAAATATATTATCTTTTCTCCTTCTAATATGGAGCGAAGTATTAAATAACCTTCTACCTAGTGCCTATAGCAAAATACAGAAACTCTCAATGCTAGTCAATCACTATTTTCAAATTTATTTATCTCATTGAATGGCTAGAAAGCCATGACTTTTCCACTTGGTTTGATTAAAATATCAAATTAAAGCACAAAGACAACCCAAAAAAAAAATGACAGTGGCTAGCGCTGGCAGGGATCAAAATACAGCGCAAAATGAAACCAGAAGCCTCAAAACAGTTCAAGACACAAAGCTAAAGACATAGGATTACCTCTCTGTTGAACATCTACAAATTTAGAGAAAATTTCATCAAAAAGTATGTCTGTTCTTTTGATATGAACACAGAATTCAACAGCAACTCCACCAACACGAACGTACTGCTCTTTTATCTCAGAATGCACGGAAGAGCTTCCACCATTTGAATCCTGAGATTGATCCACTTTACCAAGTTGGTTGCAAAATGCCACTGAAATGTACGAGAACACTTCATCAACATAGGATGTAAGCAACTCCAACAAGAAGGGCATTATGATCTCCTGTACGGCATCCAGGTTTCTAGGAAGGTCAATAACCCCATGAGCTTGACCATCATACAGAGTCATCGCCATGTTCAAGGCACCCATCCAGTCACCTGCTTTCCGCAAAACCAGAATGCGCTCTTTCCATGGGAGAAGACGGGAAACAACAAGATGTGTCGGGCCAAGTATATAAATAGAAGCACCACGTACAGCAATACTGTTATGGTAGGCTTTTTCAGGGTTTCCAAATATATTAATGAACTGAGTATGGTAAACCACCAGATCATCTCCTCCAATACCATCTTCACCAATATTTGTTTTGTGGATCACAGTTCCATCCTTTCCGAATAAGTAAAGCTGCCCAGCTGATGATAGAACTACCAGCATCTGGAAAAGTGTGAAAACAAGCAGAAGAAAAGTGAGGCCACAGATTAAGTAGAAGGATAAGAAGCAGTTGACAGCAAGTAGCCAGATATCTGGCCAATATTTGCAGAATGAGAGATGATACGATACCTGATCATCCAACCATGCGAGACCTATAGCTGCACTGTCAAGAGACCATTTCCCATAAAATTTTAGTTCTGATTTGACCAACTTTGCAACCTGAACTTTCCGATCCCAAGCAATTGCAAGCAGGGAAACTCTTTCCACAGCTTCCACAGACCTGTTTTCTGCAAGATATAATATATTTAGAAAGATGATAACATAGAATGTAACAAAATAAATCCATACCAGCAGAATTACGATATTGCCCCATATATTTCCATGCAGTATACGGCATTGAACCCTCCCGAATTCCATCTGGCCTGAGGAGCCGGGCATAGACTTCAAGTGAAGGACACAATCGTACCTATAACAAAGATTTGATTTTTCAATTACATAATACACAAGAATTCTCAGCAACGCAGAAGAAAGTACAGGTTAAAAGCATGTGGAATCAGTGCAAGCAACTCAAAGCTTCATACCACCAGTATATTTTGATGGGTGACAAATATGACCACACCTTCCTCAATTAAAGAAGAGCCTTCATTGAAGAGTTTCCAACCTGCATCTCCCCCAACAACTCCTCCCATCATGCTAGTGATACTGCTTGTTGAAGCCAGAGTATTTCCCTGGGAATAAGATGATGCACTTCCACTGAATTCATCAGAAAGGAGGGGTGAGGCCGAAAGCACCAAGCCTGTTCTTTCGCCATCAAGTAGACACTAAGAAGCCAATAAAAATTCAAAAACAAAGTGTAAGAAGAATGAATGCTGTATAAGCACAAGATTTCCTCTATAACATAATGCTCTCCCCAGTTAACAATTTACCTGACTTTTACTGGAGAACCTATTAAGCAAAGGAACCAATGAGATGCTATGCAAGAGAACCAGACCCTTGCTATCACCAGTAATTGCTTTAAACTGACGAGTATTTTGAGGATCCTGTCCCAAAAAGAACGCATGCACTACTGGTGCTGTATGCTCTCCACTAATAACTTTTGCAACCACTGCTTTATGTACATCCCAAACAATAACACGACCGTCACCATAACCAGCTAAAAGTAGGTCCCCTTGCTGATTAAAAGACATGGATGTTACTGGAACATGTGATCGATCACCTTGCATGCCAAGCATCAACATCTGACAAGGAAAAAGTATAGGTTGATAAAAAGAAGTAATATGTGACGTTAGAAGTTTATCATATAAATGTTAATCAAAAGGCTTGTCACTTCATTCTCTTAAAAGTTTGATTGTTCAAAGGGCGCCTTTATGGTGTACCATGGTGAAGACAATATTTGACAAAATTCCTACATTCATCAGTTTTGCACAGTGAAATTTCCCAACTCTAAAAGAAATTTTTGCATTACTACATCGAATTCTCTACTATCTAGTACAAATCTAAGATAATAAGCTATAAGGCACAATCAAATCAAACTATCTAGAAAGTGAATGGAGAAATTGACCAAATATTCAAACAACGAAGAGAACATTGAACTAGAGCTATTTCAATAAGAATGATTAATTACAAGAAAAAACCTTTCCATCCATATTGTCAGCATGATAAGGGGAATATCTACTGGGAACCGCAAAAATGAGTCCTTTTGTCATTCCAACTGCGATGTAATTAGCATGAACTGCCAGGACTTGAGGGGAACCGTGTTCACGCCTGAATGTTTGGGATGAGATGACTCTTGAGATGACATTGTCAGCACTAGTATCAAAATATCCCAATGTTGTAGAACCCCTTCGGACACCCTCGAGCCTCATTGGCTGGGCAGCAGCACCTTCTTCCCAGTGCAAACCAGTAGAAGCATGCTTTTTCTCGAGTTCTTCAGCTAATTCAAGTGGCTTCTTTGAAGCGTGTAATTTCTTCTCTGCTCTCCTACTGGCCCTTTTGTTTTCCAGTTGCTCAAGTGTCTCTTTTACCAGCTCAGAAACGTCACTTGTTGAACTACTGCCGTCATCATTGCCATCATCAGTCAGGTTGTCTTCATCATCCTTCATCCAAGCATTAGCATTCGCAAGTTCTTCTGTTTCCGCAGATGCAGTATTTGACCCATCCGCATTCAATCCCTTGTTGCTAGTATCAATATAAGGACTCTTGTTTTCATTAAAATCCTTGTCAACAAATGGATCAGAATTCGTATTCCTTCTAGAATTAGGTTCGCAAGCAGAAACAGATGTCTCAATACCATTTTCAATGTTACTGGGGCACGGGATTGCAGAATATTCTTCGGAACTTTTATTCTCTTCCATTACAGAAGAAGAATCATTCTGCTGCTCAATTATAACATTACCGATAGCAGGGTTCGAATTATCCACTTCAGTCGCAACTACTGCTTCATTCTCAAAATGCACATTGGGCACGGTCTCTAGCTTATCCTCAAAAGTCTCAACATTTTTTGACACCTGATCAACATGGTTAACTTCAGAAGACTGATAATCATCCAGTTTCTCATCAACTTCCTCTGATTTCTCACTAGACTTGGAAACATAGAGACCAGCCCCGCCCAAATCACCATTAGAAGAGATATCAGAATCATCGCCAATAGTTGAATTCAATTCACCACTATCTTGAACTTTCTGAAGAGTCCCACTCCCCGCCCTCCTCGACTTGATCGCAGCTGCATGTGGCGTCGGTATCGATCTAGAAGCGGCAGCGGCAGCAGCCAACGCCGCACCAGGTTTCGCATTCGACCTCACCCCAGGGAAAAGAGTTGAGAATGGGCGCAAAACCCCTAGAGAACGGTCATCGGGTTTCTCTGCAGGTTTGACCCGAGAAAAATAGCTAGCTCTGGACTGGCCTATCCTATCGTCCAAGTTGGCAAGTTTCTGAGGTTCTGGATTCTTCTGGCTACCGTCAAGTGGAAATTCTGAGACCGAGTTTCGGGAAGAAGAGGCTTGGCTAGTGACTGTGGGATCCGAGGGGCGATGAGTTTGGCGCAGATAAGAAGATGGCGAGGGAGGAGGAGAGGACGATGAGGATGAAGAGGTATCACAATCGTTAAGGATTTCGTCGACTGTGCGGTGAGGAACAGAACGTAAGGCAGCGGCGTCAGTGCTATTGTCGTCATTTTCGTCGTCGGAGGAAGCGGGTGAATTGAGGAAGGAGTCGAGGTCGAGATCCATGGAGGGTGATTCAGCAGTGACGAGTTTACTGCTCATCTCTGACCCCAAGCAATTTTGCCGGTAAGCGACGGCAGTTGTTCACTTACAGGTTTTTTTTTTTAAAGCGGTAGAATCTTTCCCCGGGCCGGATCTCTCCGATCATTGGAATGGCACATTCATGAAATCCAAAATCAATCAAATTAAATATCCATAAAAATAGAGCACTTATAATTATAAGGACTAATATGAGATTTGAAAAAGAAAAAATCCCCGATGTCTATTATCGTAGAAGGGTTAGGAACAATTTTATCATTGTAATATTATTTGCTAACAACTTATCTGTCACTATACTGAACTTTGGCACTCTGTCTAAGAAATATTTCAATTAAAACTTATTTATTCAATCCATGTCAGATATTTAATTCAGAAAGAAAAATGGGGGAAAATTGGATGTAGATGGAAACACTGTTGTCAAACTCGCAAGTTGACTTTTCAAGTTCAATGTTTTTACGTTTTCAGTTAACAAAATTGTATCGACTCGTTCTTAAACTTGTGATAACTGTAAATTCGGTTAAACTTACGAGTTTATTTATCGAGTTTACCGTTTTTACGTTTTTAGCTTATAAAATCGTATCAACACGCTCTTAAACTTGTGCTAAATTTTTTAATTTGATTTTGTTTAGTGACTTTATTTATAATTTTTATAGAAATTTCTTTGTTGAATATGATAAATTATGAATATTGATAGATATAATTTCAATTATTTAAATTTAAAATATATTTAAATGAAATTGTTCTCATTTTTTATATATTAATTATTTGATTATATACTTTTAATATCAGTTTATTAATAAAAATAAACTCTTATGAATTTACGATTTGAGTTTACGATTCGAGTTTACATCATTATCACGAGTTTGTTTAAACTCGCGAGTTTGACAACCTTGGATGGAAAGTTCATTTATCATTTTTAATAAATCGTTAACCAGCGCTTCCCCAAGCTTATGCACTAATAATCAGGCATCCATTCACATAGTATTGTTAAGAAGGAAAAACCCGACAATGATTGGGGGGGAAAAGCGATTTAATAATAGTGTCATGAGAATTTTTTTTTCCCAATAAAATGCTGTGATGAGGATTTTTAAAAATAAAAAATAACAGATCAGTTCGTACGGGCGATGGTTTCTCTATTTATTTTTTTAGTAGGATTAAACCAAATCAACTCATTTAACTTAGGAGTTAGATAGGTTCACTCATTTAACTCGTTATATATTATATAATATATTTAAAAACTAAACTCAAATATTTACCAAAATCCAAAACATTATATTATAGTTGGCAAAAATTAAAAAAAACCAAAGCATTATGTTGTAATATCAAGAAAAATCATAGATGAAATCTGGAATAAAACACAAATTCCTGGAGTTTTGAATACTAAGTCCCAGTCTCATCCGATTCAAGGTGGAGCATCACCTCATATGAGCATGTCACCACATAAACCTCGTTTTGATTTCGAATCCACTAAATTAGAATAGGTTAAATAAGCAAATCACTCGTAACTACAGAATTAGCTCGATCAGATTGCTTGGTTCAATTGACGATGTGGCATTATGAATATATTCCAATTAATTTCTATTATAACGAAACTCTATTTAACTTCACCACAATGCACATGATAAATAAGTCATTTTGTTCAAAATTGAAAAAAGAAATTTACTCATCATGCAAAATAATGATTTGCATTCCAATGAGACAGTAAAAATTTACATTGAATTTCCAATAAGACCGATTTTGAAATGATTAATATCCTCTTTAATGACTTGCAACTAAAATCATCAATTTCTTTTAAAATACCTCAAGAACCGAGGGAAATAGATGAATTTTCAATAAGACCGATTTTGAAATGATTAATAACCTCTTTAATGACTCGCAACTAAAATCATCAATTTCTTTTAAAATACCTCAAGAACCGAGGGAAATAGATGAATTTTCAATAAGACCGATTTTGAAATGATTAATATCCTCTTTAATGACTTGCAACTAAAATCATCAATTTCTTTTAGAATACCACAAGAACCGAGGGAAATAGACCAATTAATAATTTAACAACTCTATTGATATTAACCGGCCTAAAAACGCACCAATCGATGATTCTGCATTGAGCTCCGTATCCCTGAGTCATTGGTAGAAATCAGGGTCGAGGAGCTGAATAGCTGATCTCAACGAAGAATGGATTTTTTTTTTTGTTGGGGGGGGGGGGGGGGGGGGGACACAAGTCCTTGCAAAGTAGGGTTGTGATCTTACACATTGTTTGAGAGAACAAGATAACAGGATAAAAATAATTTCCTATTTAATATCTATTTCCCTACTACTATCTCAGTTTTTAAAATTTTATTTGACTTTTATTTTAATCCTGAATATATGATTTCAATCTATTTTGTTTTTAATATTTATATATATTTTTTAAGATAATCTTTCTAACAATGATAGTTCTAGTTAATATACTTAATTAGCCAGGATATTTTTTAAAAAAATCTATTTATTATAAATAACTAACTTAACTTCTTTCCTTAATCTTCTTATAATTAGAATTAAAAATAATATTTGATTTCTTTTTTTAAAAAAAATCATTGAATGTATGATATGAATAGTACCTCCCGTTCGAGCGAAGGAAATGGCTGGTTAACTCCAACCACGTCCTCACTAGGCTTCTTGAGATAAGTTCTTTAGCGGACTTCTCCCGTTAGGTCAAAGTCAATCAAAGATAAAATGGAAAGGTTTCATCTCGTTAACACTAAAGAGTCTACAAATGAGATCTCATCGTTAGGACTAGAAATAAGAGATAGTAGTTAACAGGAAAATTCTAGACTCAATCAAAGGGATTGAGCTGAAGAGCGTCCAGCTAAAATTCTTCCGGGTGAGAATTACCTGCTCCTTGGAGGATCAAGCTCTTTGCATTGCTTGCATATCCTTACCATTTAAGAGTCTTGGACATGCAACATAGATCGTCGCTACAATGCACATTTAAAAGGCAAAGCAATTGTGTTTCCAAGACTACGCTGGGTTTCATGCTTAGGGCAGATTTTTCCTAAGCAGGGTACGGTTGGTTTAAACTCAAAGCGGACGGATGGCGTGACAAAAGGAGGCCTAGTTTTGGCGGGGCGCGCTAAGAGGTGAGGCTAAACACCTGAATTGCGGGTTCCTACAATAATTTGTGCTTAATCGGCAAGATTGATCATTGTGATGAGTTCATCCTCCATTGTTCATCAATTTTGTTACTAAACCTATCAATTGTTGCGTGGGTACGAAACATCACAGTTGAATCAAACAGAAAAACCCAAGTAATGTCTCTAAAGAGTTTCATTAAGACAGGTAGGCACCACATATAAAAACACATCCGCGCTGAGACAACGTGTCACACAACTTCGATCGATCACGCCGATTTAGAAATTAGACACAAGATGATAAGACTACAACATATTTTCAGAAAAATAGCTGCCAAAGTATCAAAATTTCTCACGTCCGAAATCTTAGATTGGACATAAATCCAAATTGCCAAGTTGAAAGAACTACAAAATCATGACTTTCACATATATTTGTAAGTAGTCATCATGAAATAAAGACCTACCAGATCCATAAATAAACTACCATTACAGTAACAAAGAAAATAAAAACATATCATACTGGAAGGAGACTCTAATCAAACAAGCTGAAGCCCATGTCGTCATCACTCTCTTCCTGGGGTTCTTCCTGTAAGGAGTTCAAGAAACAGGTTCATGTTAGATACACATGATAGAAAACACAAAAGTTCTGTTCTATAAAGAACAGACAAACAAATTATCACTTGAAATCTACCTTCTTCTTCTCCTCAGCAGCAGGAGCAGCTGCAGGGGCAGCTCCAGCACCAGCGGCAGCAGGAGCAGCAGCAACAACTGGAGCCCCACCACCTCCGGCATTCAAGATCAGATCCTCAATGTCTCGCTTCTCAGCAAGCTTAGCGAATAAGCTTGGCCAGTAAGATTCAACATCAACATTTGCAGCTTTCACCAAGGTTGAGATTTTCTCAGCCTATGAAGATTTCTTAAGGATAAACTAGTCATCCGGAAACGCTTCGTTTCGGGACCAAAAAATCAATTTCAGACCCTATAACCTTAGACCTATTGAAACAATAGTTAACATCATATTGAGCTTCAGGATTTTATTGCTACCAATAGAAAATTTAGCATGAAATTTTAAGATCATTAGAATATTGAATCATTAAAGAACAAAAGAGCAGGATGCTCAAACAAGGATACAGTGACCGGGATGTTATCATCGTGAAGAATCAAAGTCGCGTAAGTGCAAGCAACCTCTCCAGTCGACATTTTCACACTATCAAAAATCAAAAGAAAATGAGACAGCATAAGAATCGCTAATCGCGCATTATAATATTCTTAGTACTCCCCAATGTATAATCAAGAACGACGAAGAAATGACTTATAACTGCTAAATTCCATGAAAACTCACATCTAAAACTGCCGTTAGAGAAATCGAGAAGATGGAATGGTTTACCTCGAGGAAGAGAGAGCTTGTTACCAACAATTTCCTTGCGGCGGGCTGCAGTAGGAGATTAGGGTTTCAGGTTTTGCACGCGAAGATGCGGGAAGGGTTTTAAAGGGTGAACAGCGGAGTGAGAGTATAATGGGCCTGGATCCGACATGTCTAAAGGCCATTTAAAGCGGCCTTTTTGTGATTGGATTATGTGAGGGGCACCGCGATTTTTTTTCCGAATTATGCTTTTCAAATTGTAATGTTTTCAGGATTTTGTCTTTTTTAAGTTTGGACGTCTTAAATTATATACTACCTCCGGTCCTAATTATAAGAACCAGTTGACTAATTTGAAGAGATTAAAAAAATAAGTTGAGTTAGTTATTTGTCCTAAGTAGGTGTTGTTTTTCCTAAAATATCCTTGCTAATCAAGTATATTGACTAAAACTCTTATTATTAAAAGGGTTACTTTGGAAAAAAAAATGTATAAATATAAGAGACAAAATGGATTGGGGTCTTATATTTATGATCAAAATAAAAGTCAAATAGGTTCTTATATTAAGGAGCGGAGGTGGTATGTTTGAATCATTATCTGTTTATGTTTCATTAGCTTTGGACTTTAATGATTTACAGTCTAAGTGAATCATTTTTTAGATGAGTCATGGGTACCCAAATTTTTTTTTCCAAAACTAATGTAATGCTGGGTTTTTCAACAATCAATGACCAGATACAAAAAGCCGTTTAACCCAGTGATTTATCACGATTTTTTTTGTTAAATGAGCTTTCTTTAACATTGATTTTTTAACAATCAACGTTAAATGACTGGAATGTTTTTTTTTTAATTACTTTGATTGATTTTATGGAAAAGTAAAACACTCACACAGAGAGAGAGAATAAGAATGCTTTTCCTTGGACATTGTTGGCAAAAGGGGCCCAAAAAAGGCTGGTCCAATAAACTCTGTTTAGCCCAAGCTCAACCAATGTGACTCAATCTGGCCTTGAGGTATGCTCAAGTCAGAGCAGACTAATGGCCGAGAATATGAGCCCATGGTTGAACTAGGCTCGTTGATTGCCGGTCATGGGGCCCAATTATACCCACCCCTAAAAAGATATTTTTAATGTTCAATAAATATGAAATAATGTATGAATATAAATATATCTTTTAAAGAAATCCAAAAAATTTTATAAATTTTTTTTGCTACGCATAAGTATTTTTTAATTGAAGGCAATCGTATTCAAAATATTATCGGACGCTGAATATGAATACACCCCCCAATGAGAATTTCATTATTTTTTCCTGCAACTAATAAATTGAAGCTGCTTAGTACATATAAAAGTGCCTGAGAATAATGGCAAAAAATGTGTTGATTTGGCAACATCAATGATTTTTATTGATTGCACGGTATCATTCTCGCTTGCTTCCTACACCCGTTAGATTAAGCTAGCAATTAGATATTGAATAAGAGGAGAGAACGTGGCTTTGAAATGGAAGAATAATCGCTTCTTGCTTTTAGTGGAGTGACAGACAATCGGATTGATTTTGATTATTCATAGTTTTACTGGTATGACTCGGAGTATTTTTAAGTTATTTTGGATCTGAGACTAATTTCTGTTGGATCGGTAACATTAAGGTTAAAACCTTCCCAATCCATACTTAATATTATTAATCAACATGAATTTAATTTATGATAATAGCAAGAGTTTTGTTCTTAGTATATGTATCTTAAAAATAGGCTTGAATAAGACAGCAACAATCATAAGTAAAGGAAAACATACAGGCCTTAAGAACTATTTAGAATAGTTTACAATTAGTTTTTTCAACCATGATTTACAGGATATGAATTAAGTATGTCAAAAAAAAATTTATATCGACTTAGATAAAACATATTTATAAATAATTTTAAACACTATCCAGACAGGCTCTTAGAGTGCTCAAGCAAAATGAACTTTCCCTAGTGAGAGTTGACAGATACGGCGGTGAGGATTTGAAAACTCCTGTTTTGGTGAAAAAGAGTTATCATTATAAAATAAAATGATATACATACTGTTAGTCCAAAAACGACGGGACATACGTAAGCAACAAAATAGCAAGACTGTGATCATTTAAATTCTAATCAAAGCATCCAATCTGCTGTTTCGTATAATTTGGGTGAGATAAACCAAGTTCTGAGTGGTGTTTAAGCTGTGTTTGGGCGAAAAAAATCTGATCTTTATTGTTCGGATGGACAAGGCTGGTGCCAGGTGATTCCAACCTGGATCTGGTCTTGATGAGTTCATCCAAAACTCATTTACAAAATAAATTTATGGAAATATGCAAAATAATTTTTAAAATTTTTTAATTTTATTATGACCAATGTGTCCAGAATTCAACCATAGTTCAAATGTTTAACTGTCAAGTAGTACCTTGATTGATTTAATTATTGATTTAGCTTTGTGACACTGGTTTATGACTCAGAAGACAAGACTTAGCTACTTAAACTGTACTATTTATTTTACTAAACTAATTTTGAATTAAATTAGAATAAGATCATTTTAAATTTATTTCCGTTGTACAGAAAATATAATTTTAAGTTTAAAAATGAGTTTAAAATATGACTAGAGTGAGTTATAAGCAATAGATTTTTTTAAAAAAGAAAAATCTTATTTGATTCCTAATGAAAAAGTACATTTTCTTTTATATATATATATAAAGCACATTTTCCAAAGCAAGACCGAATGATAAAAAAGGATCCATTGACACGTACTACCTCCGGTCCTAATTATAAGACCCAGTTGACTAATTTAAAGAGATTAAGGAAATAAGTTAAATTAGTTATTTGTAACAAATAAGTGTTGTCATTCCTAAAATATCCTTGCTAATTGAGTGTATTGTCTAGAACTATCATTATTAGAAGGACTATCTTGAGAAAAAATGCATAAATATGAGAGACAAAATGGATTAGGTTCTTATAATTAGGACCAAACTAAAAGTTAAACGGAGTCTTATATTAAGGAGCAGAGGTAGTATTATTTTAGGTATTAAGTTTTTTCAGCAGTAAACAAAGCATTTTTTTAAACCTAAACCCTATGTGATGTAGGGCCCACAATCTAATTAAATAGGAATAAAAAACTAATTTTACCTATCAACCAAAACAAAGGTACTCTGAAAAAGAGCGAGGAAGGTACTATCAAGGCAACAACCATTGACTCGGCGCTTCCATTGGATTCCAACGCATGAGTACAGATTGCAAAAGGGATCTGATTGACGCAAAAGAAAGAAAGAATCATAGAATGCCCCGTTTGACAGTGAAAGGTGAATTGTATACAGAGAGCCATTATTATCAGCCAAAATTAAAGAAACCATCTTCATCATTTTCACCCCCCAGCAAGCACCTTATTCTTGTGTTAATCTCAGGGAAAAAAAGTACCAATCATGAATTAGGAAGAAAGCAGAAATGTTCTTTTTTCAATTAATAAATAAATAAAATAACAAGTTAACAAACTGATGAGCTTTCGAAGCCCGACTCTTTCTTCCTGATTGACCAACCAATCAAAGAGGGTCCAAAGATATAAAACTAATCTTTTGAACCCTTTCACCTTTGTCATTATGAACAAGAGGTTTGTGTCATTGGATGCTCCCTGCACCCAAGACACGCACTATGCTAATAAGAATTAGTCAATAAGGTAAGAATCCAATGCTCCCACATTCAGATATTCTACCTTATTATGCCTAATACAATAATGAATATGATCCTCCTCTAGCTACTTCTAAACTCTTCTTCAAAAGAAAAGTAAAAAAAAGAACCCCTCCCTATTTTCCTAAAACAGACACTTTTCATGATGATCGAGATCATAAATGCTGACAAGTCCTGGCACGAGTTTGAGATGTCGTCGTCAAGGCCAGATGGTGGCACAAGCTTTATGTAATGAATCTTAGCGACACAGGAATTCTTAAGCAAATCAAGTATTAATCATGAATTTAACATATAAGTGTGTCAGAAGTGAATCCAATTGAGTTTCCCTACAGAAAAGTGTCTGACATGCTTATACGTCTATTCATGATTTTCACTTAAGAATTTCTCTTGTCAGGTACCCATATATCCCCCAGCAATAAAATGATGCTCCATGCTGAAAATCCTTGGATCCTTCTTCTTCTTACGCAGGCTGATCTCTGATTCTTGACACCTTTTCATCATCAGCTTTTTTTCTAAAACTGGTTAACCTTGCAAGGAAAGACATTTTTTATTCATCGGCTTGGAGATTCTAAGTTGAAGATTTTTGTTCAGAAGCTGTTCCAGAAGCTTGTGAAGAACCTGCCCCAGTTGTCGCTGCTACTGTTGTTGATGCTGTCGCTGTTGCTGCTGTTGTGGTGGCTGTTGTTGCAACTGTTAATTTTATTCCCTCAGTACTCTTTTTCTCAAACATCTTTAAAAGGAATTCTTAGATAGATCTCATCTATAGAAGATAAGTATATCAAACTATCCAACGAAAGGACTCAGATATATCACCAGAGCTTTTTCCAAACTGCTTTTATTTATTATCACAGATAGCTTTAGTTTTTCTATCTCCAAGGAGATAGAACCATTAAAAACAGTAAATTTTTATCATATTTTGCAGTAGAGTTGGTCACCTGCACTAGTTGTAGTAGTTGACATTGGCACTGAAGAAGGAAAAGAGAGGATCCCGGTGGAGCCATATTGCTGAGGCAGAAGGGGGAACTGTAGCATTTGAGGATATTGAAGTCCAAAACCTTGAGCCTGGCTAGTCTGAGCATATTGAGCATAGAAAGGGTAAATATTATGGACCAGTCCTGGTGGCCCAGATGCCCCACTGGATGGGTAATACGGTGAAAATTGCTGACCTCCATACACACCATAATAGTTCTGCATCAGTTCAAACAAACAGTTGCCATAATCAATGAACAATGCAGCCGCATTAAATGAATCATTCATTTCATTGTTTTTTTAAATCACTTCACTGCTCAAAAATAGCACCTCGGTTCTAATTCCGCCATTTCAGAGGTGGTAAAAATCAGACATATCATGAAGCGATACAAAAAAGGTCTCTGCAGTGTTGAACAGATATGATATTATGGTTTTTTGTCTTACTTTCAAGCATTTACTACATAAATACCTACCATGGGATACATGGTGTCTTGTGAATATCCAGAATACCTGTTAGTAGATCCAAGGAAGGGGAATCAGACAGAAAGAAAGCGGAGGGGTAAATGAGAAGGATGGAGGGAAATGTTCAGAAACCACATGCAAAGAGGCAAAAACGATCGCATCCACATATATTTCCTGTTTACCCGTAAGCTGAATAAGGAAATGTATATTGGCCAGAGGGCTGATGGAAAAATGTAGAGGAAGAGCCATGGTATGCGGGTGTAGCCACTAGTCCAGGTCCTGGTCTGAACCTTCCTGCTCCTGCAAAATAGCCCAAGATTTAGCTCAGACCAAAATAAAATATGGCATAAATCTTTTCCAGAAAAAAAAAAAAGAATTGACATTGTGGGGATTTTCGAGTAAAAGAGGAAGAAATGTGAGGATTGAGGACCATGTTGAGGAGTTGGTGGGCGATTTTTGTTTGCTCCAAGAGATGCAAGATTGCAGTTTGCTCTTCTCCCATCAATAACCGGAGACGGATTCTGACATGCTCTCATGGCTGCTTCTGGATCCTTAAATGTAACCTTCAAGAAATATAAAGACAAAAGACGGCGAAACCAATGACTCATTGTTCAAAGATCATAGTAAAAGCACGAATGCAGAGACAAGAAGATTAAAAAGTAGAGCAATATGGTCTTACAAAGCCATAACCCTTGGATCTCCCTGTGTTCTTGTCTGTGATAACAACAGCCTCAAGGATCTCACCAAACTGCTCAAAATACCTCCTCATTGTGTCCCTTTGAGTCTCCCAAGCCAATCCACCAACAAAGATTTTAGTAAAAGTTGTGTCATTGTAATGCCCAGGATTGTTAGCACCACCCACCATCTGGAATTGCCTCGGATGTGACATTGAGTATCAGAGATGACCGATAGGAGAACAAGAATCAAATCAAACCAACCCCAGAACCCAAAAATATGAGGGGATAAAGGGGAAGATACCCAGAGCCGCGGGGGGGTGGGGGAAGCTGGAAAAGAGGGTATTTGTTGTTTTGTTTGAAGATCACATCAACGAATGGGGAAAAACACTCATGCAGTCATGCGATTCTGTTCTGGGTGCTCGTCCTTGTTTCTTTAAGAAATGGTATTTATTTCTGAAGCTTTATTAACTGACACTTTTTCACAAACACACCAACAACTCCTCAGATTCCTCAAGAACGATACCCCTAACGAGAAAATCATTACAGCTGAGGGTGGAAAGGAAGGAAATAAGGGAAGAGAAGGAAAGGGAAAAAGAAACCCCTCTCAAGAAATTATTATATATAAACAACTAGTACATAAAATACAAGTTAATACCAGGAAAATGAGAGAGAAAGAGATAGGTGTATAGAGAAAGATATTATGCCGGGGGAGAGAGGGGGAAGAGAGGAGAGGGAGAGAAGGAGAAGACAAAAAAGCTGCTAGTGGGCACCCACGACAATGGTAAGGATAGGTTGTCCAATGAAATATGAAAGACCAAAAGACCAACCTTTTTTGCTGTATCACCACCTTCTCTCTGCTATATTATCATACATAATAACAATAATTTATTTGTGGGGAGGTGGGTCTGCAGAAAACATCTGCTTCGCTGTATTCAACCTTCCTTTTTTATTTTTCTTTCCCCCTCCCTTCTACGTCCACCTTAAACATTGCTTGCTCTGTTAAGAACATTTGTGGGGTTCAGAAAAATGATGCCATTGAAATACAACTCGTCCTCTCTCTATCCTGAATTATCCTGAATTATTCTCATTTTCTTGGTTAATGCTTTCTCTCTCTCTCTCTCTCTCTCTTCTTGTTTTTCTGCTTCCTTGTGCCGTTGGGTTCCAACTTCCTCGTCTTGTTGCAGCTCCTGCAATTCTATTAACCGCAAAGGGTACAGGAAAAATGGTGATGGTGAGGTTTTCTGCGGCCAGAATTTTCCGGCACAGCCTTCTAAAATCTCCTTCAACATTTTTCTTTTCTTTTTGGAGACAACGACTAAAACAATAATAATAGATAATTCAACCTGCTAACCCCCGCACCCTATTTTGTTAAAATTAGACAGTTGTTTGTTATCTTCGTAAAACAGGTTAAATTCTAAAATCACCCTCCATTGTTTTTTTCTATTTATGTTCTTTTATTCCTTGCAATTACCACTGTCAACACCATCAATGAGTATTTTAATATGATCGGGATAACATTGTCTAATATTTTAAAAACAAATTTCTGCCAGTTAATCTTTAGTGGGATGAACCTAATTTGTTAATCTTTTAATTTTGCAAACGTGATTTCTCATTCATTCAAGGTTTCAAGTGACGTTCTTATAAAACCAAAAACTTGAAGCTGTAAACACTGTTATCTACCAACTAATAAATCTGCGTGCAAGTAAAAGGGAGCAGGTCACGTTGTTATATCCCCAAAAAAATAGCAACAAGGTCTTGTTTTTCCAACTTGGCTTGATTCAGTATATCTCAAACATGAAAACAGGCAGACTAAAAATTCAAAAATATCGGAAAGTAAAAAGAAAAACCTTTTTAGAGATAAAATAAATAAAAAACTCAAAAATACCCAACTACTGTAGGGGCAACTCTGTCACTTTGGATATTCTTGAAATGGATAATCATGGTCATAGGCGCATCCCCACTTGCTGTTATATACACACACACGCACAGCAAATGTATACTTATGAATGACTAAGAGATACAGGAGAGCAGGGGTGGAAGACAGAGAGAGAGGAAGGGGGGAGAGAGAGTGGTGAGCGGGTTAAGCGGCGCCTATAATGGTGATATGGGAGGAAGGGGGAGAGAGAGAGAGAGAGGGAGGGGTAGTATTGGTAATTCACGGCGATCTTCTGCAGTAATCCATCCATCCAAATTCCCATTAAAATAAAACACTCTGATCTGAAATCGAATCATTGCTGTCGTTGCCACTCAACCCTTGACTATCGAACAAATCGGTCAAACCTCTGCCCTTTTATTCCTTTTCAGTAATTTTATTTATTTATTTTCTTGGGCTGGCCTTTTCGTAGTTTTTTTGCATTTTATTTTCAGGTTAAGGATATTAAAGAAGTACCCCTTTTATCATCCTGACCTTTGTTAATAATCATCTTTTTCTTAATAGAATCAATCCTCAACGCTTTTTTTTAAAAAAAAAAAAATCAATGGGCTTTTCGTTTCGTCTTCCTCGGCGGTTATATAGAATAATTCACCGCTCTTTTTTGTTTTATTCCCGAAAAGATCATAATTTTGTTTGTATTATACCTCAAATTTCAAAAATGAAAAATGATTTTCTCAAACTAACAGTAAGATGTGGAATAAAAGGATGTTGTAATTTCTCAAGCAAAATTTAAAATTTGAATTTCGTTAATACAAAATTAAAAATTTCATAGAGAGAACTTTCCTGGGAAGAATATATATAGTTAAATTCGCCATCAGCTACATGTGCATGTGCTTTTAAGATCCTTATTGCCATGACTTAATTAAAGAAGAAAGGCTGCTCGTGAAAAGTGAGTGGCATGTATCCATGCATCATGCAAGGCTAACCAATGCTCTAATTTCTTAGCTTAGTTAAAAATTTTAATAATGTTTTTTTTAAATTTTTGTAACTTTCATTAGTCCCTACATTATTTAAAAAAAATCTAAAGGTGGTAGATTATGAAAAGAAGTCACATAGATTACTTATATATTTATTCAACCAAAAGTTGCTATATATAGAAAACATTGACAAATTATTTATAAAAAAAAATAATTAACCAGGCCATAAAATTTATCATCCAAAAGAAAAAGTTCAGCCATGTTCCTCAATGATGTAAACCAATGTCAAGATAGTCGTCTCACCGTCCAATAACATTATTCCACGTCGCCTTTGATGACACCTGTGTTAACATTCCCCACACACAATAATAGTATAAAAGAGTAGGCATATATATTAATTTTTTCCATTCCATTTATTATCACTAGTTATGCATTTTTTCCTGTCATTAATTAAATAATAGGGATTTATTATATTATTTGTTTTCAACGCAGGATGACATTTTTTTGGGGCCGGCGACGAAGCAATGTGTCACTGATGATATTCTGGTATAATTCAAAACTGAGGAACAGAAACAATAATAAGGAGATGATTTAATTAGGAGGTAGGGAGATTTATAGGCGACAAGGCTAGAGGAAAGCTACAGACACATGTTTTGATATTTGGACAAAGTCAACCGAAGTGTTGGATTTGACAACTTGGTTTTTTTTTTTTGGCCAACGACAATATGGCTTCTTTTGCAGTTTGCATGAAGTGATATGTGCAATTTTAAAGTGGGCCCCCTCGGATTTGAAATGAGCTGGATGATGTGCTGTTTGTCAATTATGAAAATTGTAATTTCATACCATCGCCACCTCTGGTTCTCAGTTGATTAAATTTGCCGGTCAAAAAAAAAAATTTAAAAAATTTAGAAAATTTATTATCTTCAGTAATTAATATAAAAAGTTATTTGATTTTTATTTTAGTTCTGATTATAAACTCTAATTTACTTTGTCTTTTATATTTATCCTTTTTTAAGATAGTTCTTATAATAATATAGTTTTAGCCAATATATTTGATGATTAGTAAAGATATTTTAGAAAAAATAAATTTATTTATTATAAATGATTAATTTAACTACTTTTCTTAATTACTCAAATTAGTCAACTAGCTCCATATTAAAGACGAGAAATAGTATTAAGTTACTTTAAAATATTTATATTTATCTTTTTTTCTAAACTAATTTGTCTCGTTTATAAATTGATATATTATCTAAAGATTAACATAGTTATTTTAAAGAGGTCATGTAATATATATTATAATTGAGTAATTTAATAATATTTTTAATTTTTTAATCAAATTAATCAATTAAATTTTAAATTAAAAATAGAAAGTAGTACGAGTATAATTTTTATTTGATTTGTGGTGGACCAAAAAAGGTCCCAAATCTCATCCCAAGAGCTCCATGACTGGTGGGAGGACGAGGAATCATACAGTTGATTGAGGTAACACCCCCTCCTTTCATCAATCACATTATGATATGTTGGCGGCAGGAAGTTTCAATCACTTCTTGCCCCATTTTATTACCCTTTGGTCTTTAATATAAAACATAATTATTGAGTTAGTTTTGATACTAAATATAAGGCTCATTTCTTATATTTATCAAATTTTTCTAAATTACTCATATGGATACTTTCTCAATCATAATCAAATAGAAAAAGTAAGGGGTATTAAGAAAGATGATTATGGTATTTTAAGAAAAACGCACCACATTTCTTATAATTAACTAACTCACCTAACTTTCTTAATATAATCATATTAGTTAAATGGGTCTTATATTAAGTACCGAGAGAGTATTATCTATGCCTAATTAGGCGTATTTGAAAAAAAAATCACAATTTATATCCCTTCCATCCCAAGCGTAGGAATTAGTTAGAGGTTAATTTTAGTTTTAAATGTAGGATTTTAACTCATTTTACTTTTTATAGTTATCGTTTTTCAAACTAATGTATCTAAGTTATAATCTGATATAATATGATATTATATATATAAGTTATACCGAGATTATGTTATATTTACTATAATTAAGTAATCTATTTAATTTTTTTAACCAACTCAAATTAATTCAGCAGGTTTACACTAATGATTTAATGAGTACCATCCATAAAGATAGATCTTAAAATTTTCATGAAAGGTAAAAGATTGATCCTAGTTATAATTTACTCTTATTGCCTTATTTATAAGGTACTTTTAATAAGTAAATTATGAAAAGTCCTAGATATTAATAATTCTACATTAAAATTTAATAACATCTTAAGCTTTACTCACATTAGACATAATCTTTAAGAAAACAATAGTCTATAGCATAATAAATTAGGAATAAAATCATACATTCAAATAATAAATTTAATTAGATGACTTGTATTAAAGATAAGAAATACTCTTTCTCCCTCTTATAAATAGGACTAGGGAAATATATATGTATATATATATATATATATTGGCAGGAAGTTTAGTAACTGATTAAATTTATTGAAAAAAATACATTTCTTTTAATGACCATCCTTATTTAGGTAATTTTAATTTAAGATTTCTCACTTCATGCTTAAAATAAAAGGAAAATTAGAAAAAAAATAATATATCAAATGATACCTAAACATAATTTATATATTGAATTAATATAAGCTGTATGAAGTTGGGGAAAAAAAAGAAGATAAGCTGTATCAAACCCGAGTTAAATTTCAAAGAGAGGCTAAAGCATACATTTATCGATTTAAAAAAAAAACAGAGAGAGAGAGAAAACCCCCGGGGGAGTGGTTTGATGGGTAGAGTTATGATTGGGT